TTCTGACCACGACGAAGAATGAAAGCAAATTAAACGTAAGTTGTCCAACATTCTGTACAATAATCGCCAGCAATCGTGTGTGACGAAAGAGAAAGGTGGAGGAGACATCAGTGTTGGGTAGCACTCGGCAACTACTTAGGCTTGGTAAGGATACCGGTAAGCAAAAGACGATGGTTAGTGAAACCATCACTGAAAAGGATAGAACGCTGGTAACTTCCTGGGACAAGAGACTAGAACTTTGGGCATAACACTTTGAAGCTTAGTTTAACTGGCCCTCAGCAACGCTTAAGTTACCCAACACCCACCCTTAACCCGAATAGGATGTAGGTTTCGATTCTTCAACTTCCGTCAAAAATGAGAAAGCTAACTGGAACCTGAAACGATGCAAAGGAACTAGACCTGAAAATTTACCACCTGTAGTTTCCGAGAGTAGAGACAGTAAACTACTGACGAAGGCACTAGGTAATGTATAGGAATCAGAGGTAGTGCCGTCAGACTGATCTACTTGACTGATCACCGCAGTATATAAGACGAGAGAGAAATCTTCGTATGACAACCATAGGAAAATTGGTTGGATTTATATTTTGTTAAATATCCTAGGGTCCCTAGTTATCCGACGCTTCACTAGAGCTCAAGAACAGCAAATTTGAGAAAATCAGGCAGGTTTCACATTTACAAGAGGGTGCATCGAACACATTTTCACCCTCCGATAGGTTCTGGAACAAAGGTATACTTATTGGTCAGTGGTCGACACTTGCCATATTTCTTGACGTGAAGGCGGCACGCGTCTCTGTCGACCATGAGGTGTTGCAGCAGTACCTGACTGTGAGAAAGAGCACATTAATCAAAGCTCTCTACTCGAAATTCCACAGCCATGTCAGGGTTTATGGAGAGTTTTCATGGTAATTGACGACAACTAGTGTTGTCCGCCAATGATGCCCCCTGTCACCGTTTCTAGTTAACTTCGTCACATTCGCACTAATAAACATAACCTAAGGTACCTCTGACTTCATAGGGACTGACCTACTTCCTGGAGGTCATCTACCTGACTGTCGATACGGTAGGTGAAGAAGCCGACAAAATGAAGGATCCTTTGAACCCTTTGAGCAGAAAACTGAGCATAATTGATATGCATTTCACACCCGTCAAATGTAGCGTGATGCGCAAGGACTTGTGTACTGCAAGTACTCGCAGTTCAATGGTAAGGAGTAAAGTGGTGGAATTTGGGGACTTGTATTAGCCCAAACAAGGTAATTGCTGACGAAATCTCATCTCAGATACAGAAGGTCCGTTTGATATTTGCTAACTTGCGTCTCCTGTAGCACCAACAGGCAAGATATCCGATTTTCTATCAAAAGACGATTATACTATCCTGCAATCTTTCTTGTCCTGTTGCACGGCCGTGAGGTATGGCCGTTAAAAGTAGACGACATGAAACGATCACAGGGTTTTGACCACAGGTATCTCAGTAGCACTGGCCGTGTGTGGTGGAATCACCATGTGAGCAATATCGAGGTGAGGCGAAGGGTAGTAGGCAAGGTATACAAGTCAGTCGATCCACTTGCAAGCCTTCACTGACTGAAGTCGTTTAAATATGTATTCCGCATCCCGATCTACTGCCTGCCTCCACATCCCATCCTAGAGGATGTTGTATTAGGTTGGAAGAGGGTTCAGGGCGGCCAGATCAAGACCTGACACCGATCAATGAAGTCTCTAAATGTTGAGCTGTGTGGGGGAATGTAGTGTGCTTGCCTGGGGTACCGGAGGTAAAAGAAATCAGTGGTTGAGAACTCTTAGCGACATGGCCGAAAATTTGTCAAAATGGCGCTAATGTATTCACTCTTTGACATCTTTTAAGGGTTGAATACTAGTACTAATTTTAACCTTTGGATTCTTTATCTCTCACACTACTTTATCCACTGTGGTATCTTCCCTTTTCGATCTACTTGTTCTTTGTGTACTACTGTGAAGTTTGGAAACTTAAAGTGATGCCCCTATGTGCGAGGTTCTGTGTTGATTTTGTCAGTCAATCAGTTAGTTACCTTTTTTATCCAGCCACTTGTCAATCAGCAAAGTTCTTCTGCGATAACTTCAAATGTTCTAAAACTTATTTAATTCCTTACTGTTAATCAAACCTCATCATTTTCATCTCTTTTCTGAGCATTATCAACAACTATGAATATATGTTCTAATTGTAATAATTTCATAAATGTTTTACGTTCTTTGTGGATGAGAAAAAGGCCATAATTTAAGCAGCGGATTTATAATTTGAATTCTAGTAAAGGCATCGGGACTAACCCGATGGTAGTGACTTACAAATGGTGAGTTCAAAAGATAGACCAATATGAACATCATGAAATTTACTGTCAACCACTAAGATTAGACAGGAAATGGTTTATTTGGCAGATTCCGCTACTGCAAATCTTATGATGAAACGAAAACCGAGGTTAACAGTTTTGGGAAAAAATGTCTTTTGCAGATATGATCGATAGGATTCGGTCTGCACTCAGGACTAGACAGCATGAAATTGGTTGCACTCCCGTAACCAATCAATACACGCAAGCCAGTCCTATGGGAGGCGAATCGCGGCCCGAACAGCTCAGTGGTAAAGTCGCTGACTACAACACTTGGTGATGCGGGTTCCAGTCTCAGGCGAGACATCATTTCTATCGAGGTTACAGATACGCCTTGCTGACTAGTGCCAAAAAGCACAAACCTAGGTCCAGGGCTTCCTGCCTATTGTATCCAGCAACTAACATCTAGCAATTTCTTTTACTTATTATTCAGTTTTTAAAAACTTTTAGTTGTTCACTTATGAAACTTATTCAGTTTTATTCCAAAATTGATTTCTTGTGAGTAGTAAAGATAAAACACTTTATAATAGGATTTCTTTTCTTTTTTTGATGTCGTATTATTTATTACTTGTGACAAACAACTGATCCTCATAATTGACTTCCGATTAAGCATTATATTCCTGACAATTAATTTGCATTACATTAATTAAAATAACTTTCGAAGCATAAAGTTACACAGTTACGTTAATTATGTTTTTCTTAACGAATATAATGCAGAAAAAATAACGTATTTTAGTTAAGCGTATCATATCTTTTCTTATGTTAAGCGTAGGCTTTTCATTTTATCCAAAATTATTCCATAACCTCACCTCAAGATGCTGTGTTTTGTGCATTTATTCAAGGTAGAGTAGCTCAAGTAAAATGATCATGTGCTAGAAACTGAACATTTTATGGTCATAAGACAAATCGTTTTCACTATGCGTTGTTGGGATTTGGCGTAATAAATCGTTTCGCATTGTTTACTATTGTCATAAAGAGCTTAGTATGAATTAAACATTGACTTGAAACACTGATACTCAAGTGAAACAAATCTTATGTATATTAGTTACGTTTCACAACTAAATTGTCGGGTGAAAAATATTTCTGGTTGGTATTCATCATGGGTGCTCACTTCTGAAAAATCTCATACTAGAAAGAAACATATCTAGTTCTTCCAGGTTTCCAATATTCCTCCAACTGATGTCAATACTTGATGAAATCAATAAATCTCTACAAATCTCCAAATTAAAAAAATATCTCTGTTGACAAGGTGATATGAAGAGCTTGATGCAATGAAGTGTTTTCAGGAGGATTGCTCATTATGTCTAAGTTTCCTTCGTTTTTCTTTTTTCATAATTATAACTGCTAAACAACTTGGGTCCCTCAATTACTTTATTTCAACGCTTTAGTCATGGTCAAACATCAACAACTGATTTGGTGAGAAATATCTATCCTATCAAGGGATGGAAACCAGTGAACAGTTTTTAGTCATCAAAACGCAGAATAGTTTGACAAGTTACGTATTTTTACAATCGCTGACATTTTTTATTAGCAGCAAGCAATAAGCTACGGACTTGAGTTTCGTGCCTTCGACAAATAAAAGTAAAAACGTGTTTTCGAAGTTTTCGCAAAGTATTATTTTTCGCAACCTTCAATGAGGGAGTGCAGATCACGAAGATGTGAAATTTGCATGTAAGTTTTAATTGTTGCCTGTTACCTGATGACATTGCATTCAATGATGCTTTCAAACCGTTGTCAATAAGCAGTTTATTTTTCCTTCAACAAGGAAAAAAAAAGGAAGAATACATCTAGTATTCATTACTATTTCTTGACAATAAAATATACCTAAGATGATCTATGTTTACATTTTATTGTTGGTGTTTTATGATTGGTAATTTGAAAACTAGCCAGATATCAAATAATTAGGTCATTAAGTGGATTGAGGTAACTGTCTGTTTGAAGTGAGAGGTACGAAACTGACTCGCTGATTAAGTTAATGGAAATAAAAAATCTGTTACTTACTTCTAGCTCATAGGTGATATTTTTATCGAATCATGAAACCAAGATGATGAATGATAAAAATAAGTTACCTGTCACTCGTATTTATCTTTTATTTTACTTATTATCTTCAAACTAACTTCATTAAGACAAAAATGATTCAGGTAATAATGGTCAAGCTAAGAAAATTTCTTTCTTGAAAACATGGCAAATATCCATACCATACACATTTTATGCGTATGAAATGTGTTTACCTTATGATTCAGTGCTCCATTACCGTAATTTAGAAGTAAAAGTCTCGGTATGCACGAATCAGTTTCCTGTAGTCAAAGTTCTAGCTGACTAGCCCTTTTTGTTCAACATCGATAGAAGTCTATGGATCAAATCTACCCAGTGGTGACTGGTTCTAATATATTCCTACAGGAGGACTGATATGGTAAAGACAGCTGAGCGTAAACGTCTGCAACTTCAATAGCGAGTGACGCAGGCTCAAATCACAAAGTGAATTCCAGCTTCCTCTTAGTTGAAAAAACATCTTCTTGATGAGTGTCGATAAACACGAAACCTACTTTTAAAACTTCACTGATTGAGCCCAACATCGAACACTAAAACATTCAATATTTTCTTGAAACAGTGATTAAATGGTACAAGATACTGTGCTGAACTTACGCTATGTTTTTCTTGCTTGGAATTTTTCAAAACCTTTGAAATTCTGTTGACATAGTTTGATATTTCAATCTGTCGACCAATCTGTATGTTTTGAAGTGACCAAGAAATAAATAAGCAATAACTGGTTAGGTTATCTCAAAGTTAAAATGTGCTCTAGAAAATGATGATAATTCCATGGGAGACCAAAACAAACCAAATGCCTTCCTCAGACATACTTCAGTGAGGCACTATAGGCCATTATGAATCTGAATAGATTTACTGTACGGACTCTTTTCAGTGATGTATTTTCTCAGCATGGAAAGTTTATACGTTAATATTGACAGTATAGCGCGCTCACTTTGTTTAAGAGTGGCGCATTTCGATGTCTTAGAAGAAGGAATGCATATGCAAACCTTAAGTTTTATGCTTGTTTTTGGGTGTACACTTTCTTCATAAAAATAGCTGACCGTTTAAATTAAGTGAATTTATTAGACACACTAGTTAGATGGTTGTAACTACAATATGCTCCGAATCTGAAGACGATTCGTTTTAATGACTAGCATCATTATGCCATGTACGTATGTATCAGAAGTGTTCAATTCATAGTCATCGGGGTAATTAGAACAAGAACCTCACCTTTATGTGGATCTAGGCAATAAATTCTGCTCGAAACGTCATCAAATAAGTAGTACTACGTCAGTACGTGCTATACCAAATAGGCTAATCTAACATGGAACTACAGTGCGTAAATTTTGTACCTACAATAATGACCCCAACCCTTAAAGACAGAATCTGTTAATAGCACACTTCACGTCTCATATACTAATGCTTTTAGTTTCAGTTCAATGATTTTTTTTCAAATGTTTCACTAAGCAGCTGTTAGTTGTCAAATAACTCACTGTATCTCCCACGATGTCACATCATCTGACAATATTATTAAATGTCAGCACATTTGAAAAATTATTTTTCCCAAATCCACTTCACTGATGCGTAGAATAGGAGCTTCAAATCAACCATGATGTCTATTCATTACTTCCAGAGATAAGATTTGCACATATTTATCCGAAACCCTAATTCTGTCAGATAAATATTATCTGCGCTTACTGTTTGACTACTAATCAAGTGGACTTATCCTCATATAATAATAAGGAATAAATTGTGTTCGAAACGTGTTTCAGTAAATAATGTTGTTCCACTTTATTGCCTTAGATAAACTCATTTGAAATAGAAATATACTCTGCCATACCCCCAAAACTACACTCATAAAAGTCCATGATGAATACTGCCTTTAAAATAAAATCACCATTCATCTAACATATATATTTATAAAATTTGATTTCCAGACAGGTAGCAGCACCCGATTTAGGCTTGTTGCCTATGAATAAGTGAATTGAACAATTTTGTTTTGATATCGCTTGTGCTGTTACTTAGCTTTTCGATATCGAATTTTCAAGCTGTCTGAGATGTAACTAATGAATGTCCATTGAAGATTATTCATAGACTGAAGTATTTGTTACCCTGTTGTGTCAGATACCGCTACCAAAAGTTTTTAATCACCTAAAATGATACGATCGCTGACTGAGATGAGACATTCAAAAGCATTAGGTAATTAAGTGAAAAAACTTTGTTGAAGACGAATCATTTCAGCAGCTGCACAGTCGTATTTAAAGTAATAACAAACAAATAGATCAGTCTATCCTTGGCTAATAGATGAACATTGAGTCATCAAAACAGAATGTTCGAGGGGGAAATAGTGAGTTGATTGTACAGTTACAAAGGGATCGCAAAATCGATTGTGTATGGGAAAAAGTGCAGTAGATTAACGTGATAACTAGCGGATTAAAAAATAAAGTCAAAAATAATAAAATTAAACATAATCTTGATGGTGTTGTGTTCTGTAAGTTTGTGCTAATGATGTTGCCTAGAATGACAAAAACAGCTCCAAGATTAAACAATCCAGCTCGGGGAACACCACACTCTCAATATTATCCTTCTGAGCTATAAATATTCTTTATCGTAATTATAATTCATAATGTGAGTATATTGAGAAATTTAATGGGAGATTGAAGCTAACATGTGAAAATGTGTGAAAGTAAGCAGCAAAGAAAAATAGAAAGTAATGATAGTCAGTCAGTAAGACTAAGATGAATATTGAAGCAATAAAGAAACTCAAGAAAGAGTTATGACCACAGCAAAATAAGAGGATGAATGTACCTCTCTTGTATGCAGAGCTCAGGTTTCGGATGTTGGATTGCCAACGCCTCTGCTATACATAAGTGACGAGTTCATACTCATTTCGTGCTGTTTGGCCTAACTTTGTGTAGGATTTTTAAAAAGACTGTAGGGAAGTGATATGACCAGAGTTGACCAAATGACTCACGATGGAACTGTTGCTTGGCTTGTGTTCTCCTCTGGACAGCGATGTAGGATAGTGCTTGGAGATGCACCTGGAAAGACTGCACTTTGTGTGGCCCACATAACCACCTCCACACCAGCAGGTAAACTGACAGACACATACGGATATGGCCTGAAGTGGCAGTTTTTCCTTCACACTACCTTGCATCAACTGTCAATAGAAGAAGACAATTCGCAGCTCCACAGAAAAGAATCCCTTTCTGAATGTTTTGAAGAGACAAATTCTCAGTATTTCTGATGGGTTATCCACCCTGAATCCAATATTCATCAAAAGGCTTTCTTAGAAGAAGTAAGAATTTGTTCTTATTGTTGTTTCCGCTTCGCGCTTTTTTCAATGAACTTTGAGGGATAGCCATTCTGAAGGACTACCTTTCAAAAGTATTCCAAATCATTGTCTAATGTGTCATTTGTGTACATGTCTCTGGTTCCGGTACAGAGCGAACGAATAAGATTCCTTTCTCAGCTGACTGTCATCCAGCTTGGGAAATGAGTGTATTGTCCAGTCCAAGTTGCCTTCTTATAGATTGACCTTTTTAAGGACCTATCAGATCTCCTCTTCAATGAGATACCAAGGAAATGAAATTGAAAGTTGTTTCCAGCTTCCATCTTGAGATGGACAGAGAGATGACTCTCAACTTAGACATCATAGATGGAAATGATCAATGATTGACGTAGCACAATATTTTCCAAATTAGCGATGAAGTAATCAGCTAGAAGAAGGCTCAGTGGTGACCGCATGGCTATTCCATCTTTCTGTTGATATGAGTCGTCACTGAATTTGAATTGCTCATTAAAAGTGCATCGTGGAAGTAATTCCTTCAGATAACGAATCGGTATACAGACTTCTAGATTAATAGTTTCCATGTACGTACACAGGAAAAAATAGTCTCTGTAAGTGGAACATTTTTGAATGGTAAAGTGATATCTAAAGAGAGCATTCGCTCTTCAGATATACTAAGGCTTCTTACTGCGTCGAGAAAGTCAAATGAATAAAGTGAAATGTGTCTATTAATCCAGTTTTTCACTTGTTGAGGATTTTTAGTCGGTCAGTTAGCAAACGGATGATATCGAAAACTGGATGGAGAGAAACGTCCTTTTTGTGTGCCTTCTGAAAACCATAGAGTCGTGGGATTATAGAACCTGATGCTTTCAAACGTCGGAAAACATTACCGATAATTATCGACTGGTTTCTCCTCTCTTTAAGGATTTTGGTCAACTCCTGCTTGCTTTCTTCAGTTGTATTCTTCTGAACAGTTTCTTTTAAAAGTTTATTTTCAAATGATATTACGAAGTATAACTATCCAATATACGCTTGGCGGTCCATGCGAACAACGTAGCGACCCATATTGGGATGGACTTTATAACGCATTCCCTTTGTAACTGTACAATCAACTCACTATTTCCCCCTCGAACATTCTGTTTTGATGACTCAATGTTCATCTATTAGCCAAGGATAGACTGATCTATTTGTTTGTTATTACTTTAAATACGACTGTGCAGCTGCTGAAATGATTCGTCTTCAACAAAGTTTTTTTCACTTAATTACCTAATGTTTTTAAATCTATTTAGGTACATTATGTCGATTAGGTACTGGAAACTCAAACATTTCTGTGGATTTAGGTTGCAAAATCGATGAGACCTAGAGTAATGACACATAAATAGCCTTGCTAGATACCATAATGCAACTGATATACGGGACTATCACTATAAAATATGAAAATTTGAGTCTTAGGGGGATAGTCAATTTCCGTTTATTTTACTTTTATTTAACTGAGTACAGTGCCTTACTCCGAAACTCAAAGCAAGGGATTTTGAAGAACTGAAAAAAATTTACCTTTACTGAAATAAACTTTCATAGGAACACAAATGGGTAATAATTGTTAGTAACATTGATATAAGTAAAACTGAAAAAGGGAACAACGATAGCAAATAACTTAGACTGGAATGCAGGTGAATGAAACCCCATTAAAAAGTCTGCTTAGTCCACCAAAACAAAAAAGATAATCACAGTCTACAAGACAAAACTTACTAGTAATTTAAATGGTTCACTGAAATGAGCATATTCAATATCTCCATTTTGCAGACAATCACTCAATCCTTGAAGGAATTTCTTTTGTATATTCTCGACTGAATGAAGTGACGAACGTATTTCTTTAATTTCATTCGATGAGCGTTTATCTCTAACAGATTCCAGAGACTAATTAGAGGATAAAATACATGGGATTCGTTGAAACGTAATACCAGAATGAAATATTTTTTTGATAGGATTTTAAGTAAACCTCTTTACAATGTGTCAGAAACTGGATCATCCTCTGTATTTAACTTAGACTAGAGACTATCATGACAGTAAATATATTAAACATGCAAACACTTTGTTATTTCTCACTTTACGAAATTAGACTACTTAGATCTATTTGCAGAGTATCATTAAAATACAGTAATGCATTTGGTACTGATGTGTACGACTTTCTGATATTTTTCTTATGAATCCCTGAGTGTGCACACTAATTTAACTTGACCTATCATCGGAAATATAGTGATGTAGAGAATGGTCTTCAGATTAGACTATTCAAAAATCAATTTCCGATACACCAGTATCCTATTAAGTTGTGGACCTAATTTTACCAATAGGCCATTATCATATAGTAAACGGTTACCATAAAAATTTTCAAAATGTACTACACTATAGCTTACAATGAAATAAAAACTCATATTGACCCAAAATAAAGTTGACGGTTTAAGGATGGGAGTCACAATTCATTCAAGCTCTCTATGGATTTAAAAGTAATTCCTTTTTGTTCTGTTTAAATAATCTAGTGGACTGTATCAGACATCCTAGGTATTAGGAAAATTTGTTGGATTTCCTGAATGAGAATTCTAAACAATGTTAAAAGAATTTCAATGGAAATATGGAACTGCATAATTCAACTAGGTAGCACAGCCCAAAAAATAGTTCTGTTGAATTTTTGTGATTACAAAATGCATGACTCACATTTCCAACTTACTTTTGAATCTATTGTAAATCAACTGGGCTGGATTAGTTTGCCTATTTCTCTCAAAAGACTAATTCAGCTGAATAACTAACTACCTGCGCATATTTACTTTGAGATGCACTCATAGAACTGTTGCTTCTAGATACTCGTTTTACAAACTAGAAAATTTTTATTGTCTTCAGTAAAACAGTATGTAAGAAAATACTTCAAACTTTGCTAAAAAAAAGAATACCTTGATAATTTGCTCTAAAATCTTCAAGTGTTCACTCTCATGTTTGTGTAAATAGTTTAAATGTGAGCGTATTTGGTTCAGTTTCTCCTGAATTTTTAAAATCAAGAAATGAAAGATGAATTGTAGAAAGTAATCTGTTTATATATTTTAAATACCAAAACAATGAAATTTGAAAAGTCTATGGGCAACTTTTTCTCTTCTACTGTACTGGGAAAATTTATCATGAATAACTTATGTTTATGTTTACTGATGGTTCACAACTGTATGCAGTAAGTTGACTGCATGATATCAATTTTCATCAGAATTCATCAGTCAGTGTTTCAATCACCCTTGGGTTAAATGCATTTTAATAAAGATAGTTACTTATATTGCAGTATACACCATTTGGTAGATCAACTTCAGATAAAGATTTTATTTTCTTATCTTAAAGATAAATTTTCACTGCAGGATATTCAGCTTAAATCAAAAATACACGTGTTGTTTCAAGTGAATTTGTAGTGAATATGCTTGCATCCGGGATGGTATTTCTGTCAAGATTGAATCTCATTCTTCATTGTTAAAATGGCTACAGAATACTTCAATTTCACGATTTATATTACTTTAATGATGGACAATGAATAAATAGTTTTCGAAAAAACACAGAATCCAAGTCAATAAAAGTTACTGTACAGTACTAAATATTCTGTGAAGTTACTTTTTGACTAAGAATTATTCTTTGTTAATGGTACATTGAATTAGGGTAAATAGATACTGCCTAATTGAATCATGTTATCAAGGAATGAATTCATGCACAACTCAATCCCCAAATAAATTACAGAATGTGAAAGAAATTAGAATATTAAATCGTTTCAGATACCTGTGGCTAGTGGAACTAATGTTCAGATAAAGGCGCATGTCGAGGTTGTCAGTTATACACTATTCAACGGTTAACATTTCATCACCTGTGTTCAACTTAAGATGAAGCGATCAGTTCAGACTTCGAGTGAAAATTTTTAATGTGTATCTCACACACTGAAAATAATCAGTCGGTGGAACTTTGACTTTTTTTGACTGGTCGACTATTTACAGTCAGCTAATTCGAGTCGTGTTAGCTCACTCCAGATGCTTAACTTTTCAACATAGATGGTGATGAGAGTTCTTATTGTTGTTGGGTTTTCATTGTTCTCATTTTCGTCTTTAACTTCTACTGTTTGTAATTTGAGTCAGAACTGGATTCAGTAGCACCATTCTAAAAAATGTTTCTAATTGGTCTATAGGTTGATTGATATCAATTGTATCTAAATTCCATAGTTTAAGAATATATTTTATTCATTTAGAATTCTCTTGATTTAAGCCCTTTGGGTTTACTCAGTATAATTATAAAAGTACGAATGAACTGAAGAACTGATCTCACAAATGAGTTAAAACAATAAATTTTTCATCTAAGATAGAAACAATCCAGTAGGGGGATTGAAACAGTAAGAACGTTAAGACCAAAAAACCCTACCTCAGCATCAATGAAGTATTCTTGATCCAAAGGTGGATTGTCTTCATCTTCACTGACTGATTGTGTGACTAGAATTAATTTGACAAATGAGATAAAGTCGGAATAATTACCATTGGTAATGGGCAGTAAAGGTATGCATTTAGAACATAGAAACCTTAGTTATACGTAACTGTCATGCACATGACTAAGCAGTATTATTTTGACCTTTAAGTTACCAGTCAACAGCAACTACTTTGAAATGGTGTATGAGTATCTTAGTTGTGTTGTATTCTCTGAGCTGGGTGGTTTAATCGCATGTAAGTCAAAACAGTCCCGTAGAACTTAACCGGTTGTAGATACTGTTGCCATAAATTCTACCATAAAAGGGATTTATCTGACAGTGGTAAGACCAGTGTTAGTAATTTCCGCTGTGATATCAAATAAGATATACTGAACGTTTGATTGAGTGAAAAAGTGATTGAAGTAAGCTGTTTCAAGTGAGTGACCAACATCCCATATACAAAACGTACAGATTTTAGGAAAGATAAATAAAAATAAGTCGGCTTGAAAAAAATTCCCATTTCACTCTGTCCACGGCTATGCTTCACTAACTGTAACGCTTTGAAATCCAGATATCTCTTTTTAGTGTCCAGTAAAGTTAATCCATCATCCGTTTCAAATGCCTTAAAAAGATATGAAGTTAATCTGGTTCAACAGCATAAACGCACTATCCGCTCACATGCCTTCAATAATAAAGACACTTAACAGACCACTACGTAACATATCACCTTTCTCCCTTTCTATAGTTTCTTTACCTTTTCCCATCGCTAATGTTAGCCTTCTTGAGGTTCCCTTACCTGTCTATCTTGTGAAAATTTAGGAAATTGTCGTCCAGCAAATCACTGCTCGTAGTATTTGCCAACTTTTAGCATGCGAACCCCATGGTGACTGATAAGAGTAGAGTTATTCATACAACCTCTAGTTTAACATAATATGAAAAGACGCCTAAATGTCTACCAGAGTCATGTTTGTAACACGAATTAAAACGCTACTAGGTGATGAAGAAGAGAATGATAGGTTAGGCACCCATATCATTTAACGGTCAGCAGTATTTTCGTGTTTAAAACAGTAAACAGTACTGTTACACTGTGTGATAAATCTAATAAATGGATAAAAATAAAAGGACTAAGATTTAGAAGAAAATGACTGTGAAGACATCACTGAAAAAACTTCATTATGACTACAACTTGGACACTGGAAGTCTGTTACAGCATTTAGCAGAGCTAGGCATCCGAAACAGATGATTTATCGTGTTGTAGCATGGATTTGTTCCTCTACTATGATATCCGAAAAAAAGCACGATCGCGTTGCATTCTATTGTGTTCATTAATTAACGTGAGCGTGCACATATACACTGGGTGGTTGAGCATGTACTTAAGTAACTTCCAAACAGATGACTCTGAGTGATTCAGTAAGACTATGTAACAAGCATTCCACCTCATCTATTTGTAAGCGCATGCTGGAAAATAGTCATAGAGTTTTGCTGAAACATCCATTATTGTATCACATAAAAGTAGTCAAAGATGAGTTCCTAAATTTACAGGAACCCTAACTATCAGTAAATTTGGCCTCTTTATGTATTCAAAAACAATTTGTGTCGACTTCAAACCTCCGTAGATTGTAGTATAGGAGACAAAACTATTGTACTCTTCGCAGAACAACGACAAACGCGCAGTTAATTTCTATCACTGTGAAATGATGAATTGATGGGAAAAGACTTAGGGGTCTAAGAAAACATCATATTAGTGGCAAAGTATGATGATAATATTGGTTGATGTTTTACATTATTGACTTATAGACCCTTAACACAGTCTTGTGACTTTTCTGAGTACGCACAGGAAACGTGAATACTGTTTAAAAACACCCTCACAACTCGAAACAGAAGTTCGTGTCATTTGGAATTTCATACTTATTCATGTTAGCCTATCATTATTTTATTGGGATATACTGTGTTCCCGGATTACGCTAAACGTATAAGAAATAAGTAGTATTCATGACAGTGAACACAGATGTCATAGTGGGAGGAAAGATGGCGAAAAGTCTTTAGAGTAGCAGTGACTAACGTTAAGGTGTATTCATAGGTCAAAGCATAGTAAAACCTTCTTCAGGAAGATTAAATGGTAGCACCACGTAAATAATTGAAAAGTAATTTGGCAAAATGTGTTGTGAATAAACAATTATTAGCAGTTTAAAACAAAGACGATCTCTTTTCTTTGATTATCCACTGGTTAAGAGAACTGTCAGAATTTTACATACAGTTTTGACCTTAGCTGTTTATCATCTTGTTTTTTATCTGTTTTGTATATCAGTCTCTAATATTGAAATCATATTTGATAGTCTACCATTCAATTGCAGTTGTATTGTGTTCCTATAATTATGAGAGTCAGCAAACGTCATAGAAATATGGCAGTTGTTCACCAAAAGCTAATTCTTTCTGTCTGTTTTTGGAAACTCACTACAGTGTATGCCAAAAATCAATTTCAGATTAACTTCCTTAGTAATAGTAATCGCTTGAGTCGTTCTAACAACTTTTTCCAATAATACTTTTAGCTGAGCTTCCCTTAGCCGCTTTCCTTGGTGATTTCCTTAGAGCATATTAACTTATGGTCTGTTTCAGAAGATAATTCAACTTGACGATAAGGAAATTTATTTACCTGAATGATAATAATTAGCGGACTATAGAAATAAGGAAAAATTCAATGAAGTATTAGTGATAAGGCTTTCTTTTCAATTTGTGTTCAGCGTTGGGAATGTGAGTCAGTAAAATCACGTCTGCCAACCAATGAGACGCAACATACACATTACGGGATAATTTTTGAATTTGACAGAACTATACAGTGATTGGTCACTGCACTGTAACCAACTTCATGTTGTCTAGCCCGAAGTGCTGATCGAATTCTGTCAATCATTTTTGCAATACAACTGCTAGGCTAGACGACTTTCCATCGCGATGCACTGAAAGGGGTGTTAGTTGGATAGAAGCAATCAACAGAAAGCCCTACTCGACCTAAGCTCTGTGCTTTTTGGCACTTGCCGGCAAGGCGTGTCTGCGACCTCGACTGAACTAATATCACACCTGAGATTGGAACCTACGTCTCCGAAGGGACATCACTTACATCAAGGTTGCAGATACGCCTCGCTGACGAATGCTAAGAGACCCAAAACCGACCACCTCCAGTCAAGTAACAGAACGAATTTAATTTTACACATGTACATTCGGTTCACACATCGGAAGTTAACAGGATGCCCACTTTTTCCAAATATTCCAAAGAACAATATCGTATTTATGTTTTGTATCTTTTAAAATAAAAATCACAACTTACGTGATTCACAATGACTAAGCAGGTCATGAGTAGTCCGGTAGGATGGTGAGGATGATACGGTTATTGGCCGTGAATTCATGCTGACTGGAAGAAATTTCGGTGGAATTTCATAGTCTGATACAGAAATGTGATGATTTAGGGGTGATTTTACGTTTGACCTAAAATACATGAAAAATTATTCAACAGTACTTGGTTAGGCTGACAATAAATTTGTGTATATACCTGAAGATCATTGAATGATTGTAAATGAATTCGTTTGTACATTATTTAAGGCTGAACTTTTATATTAGGCGACATTTTCAGAGTGGACCTCATATACGACTTAAATTGGTGAATCACAAGTGAAGCTGTGACTGTATTTGCTGCAGTCAGGAATTATGTGGCTAGCAGAATTACAATAAAACTAATAAATTAGAAGAAAATCTTTCTTCTAATCGTTAGATTTTTATCACTTATCGCATATTGTGATAGAAATGTGAGGTGGATCAACCCTGACAAACTCGTCAATCATCTTCCACCTGCTGCTACATGTCACTAATTTAGCATCCTCTTTTTATCAGGGCTTCCGATGTCGACCTGATTAATATCTTGTACACAAATTTTGCACTATCCGTTTTCGCTATTCTCACTTTATTAATGTGTTTGGATGTATATTTCATTGGAAGGATCTTGGGGATAATCCTCACTTTCATTTACCTCACATCCCTTCAACTTGGCGTTAGCTTGAAAAATGTTTTTAAAGTAACTGATGACTGGAAAGTCAAAGGTATGTAACCTACCAATTTAGTCTAGATATCTGTATACATCGTTCGTCATAGGGGCGTTAACTGTTGAATCACTACCACTGTGTTCGAATTTCTTGAAGAGACGTTTCAACCGCCTTCAACTCTCTAATTCTTCATTCTCCAATATTCTGAATCTCAATGGGAAAATGATACAACACAAACCTTTAATTTTAGCGATCAACCATACAAAGATGTTCACTGTTGCAAACTAAATAAAGCCTGTCTCCACTGTAAGTTCATATGTTACTTGTGTCTCGAATTGTTGAAGCTTATTCAACTTAGATTGTCATAGCACACCAGTGGTTGTGAACCAGTTATCTAACACTAGATGAAGTATGACTATTTAAATTCTAAAGCCCCTAAAAATCAAGCTTACTATTCTGTTTGCAGATGCTTAGTTAACATGGGTCATCATTCCTCACGAAAAGCAGTACTGCTGACAATAGCATTACATAAACTATTCGTTGGTGTATTGTCGCACTAAGTAAGATGATTTTCGGCTGAGTCACAAAAATTACATCTCAGATACACAGTCCTTAGACGCAGTACTGAAGGACTTAACTTGAAATGAAACAGAGAACAAACCTTTACAAATGATTGTAGATGCAATCACTGCGCCTACCTAAAGGTAATCATTTAAAGTTTACAGATGACCTGACAGCAATCACAGTTCACCATAGAATCAACTTGATAAGCACACACAATGAGGAAAACAAGAGTGAAACATGATACGTAGTTACTTTCTAATGAGTGTTCAGCTGTAGGCATCTGTTTACTTTTGAAAAGAATGGATAGTATTTTTGAATAAAAGTACTTGCTTTCCTCAAAATCTTGCGAGAATAAAAATGAAGTTTGTCTCCAAAGCACATGATGGTGTTATAAGAATATATTTTACTATAACCCTAGAGTGTTTAGAAAATCAAAACAAGATATTTCTGACCGTTCCGCTACATAGTCAAACGATACATCAAATATTTAGTGAACGTAGGTCATTGGTTGGGTGATTTTTCTATTTGACCCGAGTAATTAAGATTAGTAATTACAAGTTCATGCTCGTTACTGTCATTTGTCAACGAATATATAGGATAGCCAATGTGTATACGATTCAGTCATACTAGGCGCTCAACTCCCTCAAGATATCCATAATTAATATGGTCTGGATGTTCATAATCGCATCACTTTGTGTTAATAAAATTAGTCTTTATAATAATCGACGTTTATCTACTTTTACGAGGTATTTTTGCTAAAATAATGTTGGGCTAAGTAACTGAAATTTTTAAAAACTTTTCCTAATTATAAGTTTGGCTTAAGCATAAAATTTTTTATTCAGTGTTCACTGGTCTCCTACTTTTATAACCGTCGAAAAGTGAAGAACTTGAATCTCAAACAAGTATTATCGGAAGTATTACTTTATTTATTTTAAAAGTTATTTTACTCAATTTAATTGATTGCATTACCGCACAGCATTGGTCAAGTGCTCACGATAAATTTCATACTCACTTCTGTATGAATTACTGTTTAGAAGTAATACACGTTGACCGATATCAGCTGTTATCTATTATCTCATTTTCTGTGCATGAATGTGATTGTTTCATTCTCATAAATAATGTTGCATCTCGTATTAATTGTGTATAGTCAGATGAACTAGAGTCCCTAATACACAGGAACAATAGACACTAGACTTTCTGTTCTGTTGTATGCGATTAGGAGGGCCGAATTATGTGACTCATAAGGTTGGATTTAGCATATGATATGTGGCAAGTATATACGAGAAGTATCAAGTGCAACGCCAGCTTTTAGAGTGAATCAGTAGAATCAGGTACATAAAATAATTAGCACTGGTCAAAGTTATAACACCTATCACTTTAACAAAACTGATTTATCATTTTGTAAACCAGTCGAAATCTAAATCATTTTAATGGTAAACTTCTAAACTAACAGCTGAATATCAGGGTACCTGAATTACTTACTATTATTTAAGCATACTAATTATATTAAAAAACCAATAAAGCTAACATGAATAAAGTCGCACGGTGAGTTGAGTAATATTCATCTATTGCCTGCCTTAAAAAAATCATGGAATTTCGCATCTCATATATCTTTACTTCGAGAAACGTTGTCACTAAGACACCGTCAGTACAACCTTTTGCAATATTATTGTTGTATTTCATTCACTATCTCACACCTATTTTTTTATACAGTCAGTCAATATCAACATAAGACCTAGCTGTAATGCATAACGGTATGAGTTGGCACACCTCATATCAACCTTTCAATGTATAGAATATCAAGGCGAAAGAAAAGATAGCGAAAATTCGATAAAAGTTGCAGGTAGTTATAAAAATAGAGGAAACGACAGAACAAACAACGAAATGTGAAATGACGATTAGGATGAAGATCATGTTTATATCTCCGTGTTCCACGGAGACCAGTTCTAAACCGTATCACAGAAAGTCTCAAGCCATCTCATTTGGGCGTCATGCGGATTACACACGGAAGGTCTACACATCCCAACACAGATAAAACCTCCAGTCAGGGATTTCATGGACTATTGCTACCATTCATTCTGACTGAGCTTTGAATTTTTCCAGATTAGGCTTATTTCAGTTAATATTTAGCATCGGAGTAGATAGTGACCAAACATGGGTAACATATGTCCCGACCATCCTCATCGAAGAAGGTTTACAAGCTCATTGGCCGGTCTACCCGTTTTATCTGAAACCCTACTTATGGAATATACATTATTAACATCGTTTCCATGATGTATCAACGACTCAATAACGGTCTAGGTGGGGAGCCACCTTGAGCTTTCTCAAAGTTCTCAAACACCACAGCTCCTATTGTCAGACAAAATGTAAGTTCAGACCTATCCTGAGGCGTTAATTTGTATTCGAGTGGTAAGAACCCTAGCCACTCAAGTCATCTAGAAAAGTCTATATCCTATCACCTGATAGGATGGGGTTATTTGCATGATCTATGTTTACTAAAAAGTCGTTTGTGATAAAGTCTTTGCCTTTAAAGTCAGATGAACAGAAGCATACCTTCATCAGCACCTGTATGATGAAGATAAGGAAAAAGATAAGGAGTAATAATCAATGATAGACACCACTTCTGCTATGCGGATAGCACACCTGATGATCCCATGTTGATTCTGTTACAATCACGTGCTCCACAGTAACATCTACAGTATAATGATTTAACTAAGCTATCCTCTACTTAATAAGATATACTGCTTGAAAACCTCTTGACTCATCTGGCCAACCGCCTCATTCAGGTCAAGAAATCCGGTCAACGTTCGGTGCCGGTAAGTTTGCTAGCATTCTGAGACCTAGTGTAGAGCGAAATCTCATTCGAGACATTCTACACCAGGTCTGAAACTACCTCGGTCTCCTCCGTGAACTATTCAATGATTATGGAAACTAGAATCATAGATATCATATTCTCTAGGTTGATTCATCTATCGTCATCGCATGAGAAATTTTAGCCTTCTTGTAAATAAGCAGTGACTGAAGCCAGTTAGAATGGATAATACCAAGTTCTTAGGTGCCAGACAGTTAGTCTAAATAATATTTCTGAGCCACCATCCAGGCTAACTACAGGTATCACAACTTCTGAATAATCTAGAGGCTCCATCTCAATATCTTATTCTGAGTTCCAATAATACAGTAGACAATATATAAATAGCCTGTTAAATTGTTTCTCATAGTCTTCCACTCATCGTTCCAGTTACCCTCCATGCGGGTCGAGCACAGACTCTCTCTTCATCAGCAATGTCTCACTAACCACTAATTTATATATATATATATATATATATATATATATATATATATATATTTGTATATGCATATATATACATATCGTTCATATGGCTACGATTTGCATGCTTACTATATCACATCCACAGTTATTGATTTATTGATCAATTCAAAGTTCATCTTTTAGTGATTATTCTGTTATCTTCTTACAGAAGAAATTGTATGCTTATTAAAACTCTACTGTACATTGAGAAAATCATAGCTCTAAACTTGTATACATTTTTTTCTCTCTCTTTCTTTGTTGTGAAAATATGTATCACATGATGAGATTTTTATCAATCGATACATTACAAATTACTGAATCAACAGCTATTCTGTTAAGAAATGAATTCCTGTTAAAATTAGTGAAGTTAATTTCAGAGAGATATTTTAATCTCCTCACTTTTATAGGTCAGTCACTGAAATATCGCAATAGGTAGATGACATTGAACGATGTAGAGAATAGTAAATTCGAACCAGTCATCTCCAAAGACCATGGATTATTAGTGCTGTACTGTTTTGTTCAAACCATCTAGTGGGAATGCGAGAACACTATAACACAGCAATGAAGTAGTGCTTTCATATTAAATGGGTTTTAACGTCACACGCCACTCACAGCCAATTAAAACGTACAGTAGTAGGGACTGAAAACTCAGTTTACTGATGTCAGGTCATTTGTGTTTGCTTTAGTCAATAAATAAGTGTATGAATAAAACGTATGCAGCGACAAAGATAATGAAAAATTTCACATAAAGTTTAGTTATTCATATAAGTAACATGGTATCCTTTTGTCTTGTCCGTAGATAACTAAGTATTTTCCCACGTATTTTAAAACCCGTGCTCTGCAATTCTTTTCAATCAATCCACCATGGAAACAAGAATAGTGCATTATCATTTCAACTTAATTACTATTTGTTGACGCTTGTAATGCTGCATTGTTATACTGGATCGAATTCCCTGACCTCTGTTGACATATGGGCTCCTACGCGAATCCCTCTATATTGTCTGAATATTTACTGTTATAAGTGAGTTGGTTGTGGCTAGCAGTGGAATCCAAGATGGGCGTTTCGTCTAACTTGGGATTCATCAGCTGCATGTACCTGCATCCCGGTGAGCGTTGTTCCCACTGAGACTCGAACCCTATACTCACTACTTCAGACGCTAAAGTGGCGTCCACTAACCCACTGAGACATAACTTCAACTTTATAGTGCATTTATGCATCTTTTAAATTCCGTTTAAAAACAAAAGTAATCTTAATTCCATCATCACTCAGTCTCTCCTCACTACTGTATTTCCCAGTCTTCAGTAATGCTCTGTTTAGTCACCTTGTTCAAATGATAAACATTTCTATTGTCATTAACTCAGTTATGTCTTGTTTCACCCAAACTAAAAACCAGTTCACCTTGCTACTCAACTTTTAACGCAACCAATTAAACAGCTGAATATCGATAACTTGGTGCATTGTGTTATTCTAAAAATGTGTCTGTATATGCTTATGTAAATTTTATTTATGGTATACATCCGAAAACTTCCCACCTAACTTATTGAATTTTATTAAATTATGCTTAAATGACATTTGTATGATATATAAATCAGGAGACAATGAAAGTTACTGAGAATACTTAGCAAGAATTATTTATCTTAAAAGTACACAAAATCATTAAATTACTTATTCTAATTCTGAAGGTCACATTGTTTTGTTTAACACGGATACCTTTCGAATAAACCGAACACTCTTTAAGTATCAAAATAATTCAAACAGCAAACTGTCTTTACTTACAGATCAAAATAATGCTTGGTTTTAGTCTTAGGTATTAGTTTCATAAGGTCAAACCCCATAAACGTTTCCAAGTGTGTATAAGAATGTGTATACACTCAAAGGAAAAATTGTCAATAAACAGTTGATAGTGCATAAAGGTTAAAACCTATGCATTCCTGTCAAAATCTTGCTGAGTGGTATACACCTTTTATGTTTTTGCCTTCAATTCTGAACCTTAAATGCGCTATTAAAACCAGGAATATAAAGCTTTGATGCCGTTGGTTTCTTCATTTCGACGTATAAGGTACCCGTTAATGATCAGTGATACATGAAGATTATGTACACCCGGTTTTCAAGGTGTAAACGAGGTCAGAAGACATCACCAAGTGAACATTGTTACGCTTCGTACATAGAGGAATGACATCAGTCAACAAAAAATTGATATTCAGATGAGTGATATAACCAAGCAATATCCTACGTCTTGCTTCCAACCTTATTTTGGAATGAGGTTTAGCAGAGCTTATAAAGATGGAAAAAGTGATCTCAGTTGCAATTTATTAGTCTCAAGGTCTCACTTAAGTGGATAGACTTTAACTGAACTCAGACTTCTGACTACATAGTGAAGGACTATGTTTTACTTCTGCATGATGCTCAAGTTAATGTTTTGGTCCAAACTTTTGGAACGAAACTATTTCAGCTAATACTCAGCATTTTCAAAATAACATGGGATATGTTGGTCCTTTATTGGTCACTAGGTGATAATCAACTTTATATTGTATACTACTGGGTGCTGACCGAATTCTGTCAGTTACTTTGCGGTGTGACCACCAACCTACGAGACTTAATGTACCGATGTACTGAGATATGTGTTACTTGGATAGAGGCAATAGGCAGGAAACCTCCCTTGACCTAGATTTCGTGCTTGGTGGCACTTCCCAGTAAGGTGCATCTGCGACCTCCCCGGAAATGATGTCCTTTCTCAGACTCGAAAGTGAATCACCAAGCGCATCGTGCTGGTAAGTATCCTGGCTTGGTAGCTGATAGAACTCGATCAGCACTCAGGACTAGACAATATGAAGTTGATTATCCTCCGGTAACCAGTCACAGGGTCGGTTACCGACCGAATAGCTCAGTAGAAAGGTTTTGAACGGCGGTATTAACTGACAAAAGTTCCGATTTCATCGGGTAAATAAATTTTGTTGACGCTGCAGCAACTTCTCGCTGACGAGTGCCAACATGCTTGGAACCTGGGTCCATGGCATCCTGCTGATTGCCTTCATCCAACTAACATCTATATGTTGGTTTGTCAGCAGTCGCTGTCTTTATATAATCTTCAGTGATAAAATCTTTTACAGCGATGATTAATAGCATACGTTTCAATTTCAGCCAGAGTATAAGTTTAGTTGTATCCTTTTGTCAGCTTTTAACAAATTCGTAACCAACTTCTATGGCATAACTTGTATGCACTTAAAAATAACAATGTAATATCCCATAAATCTAGTCGAATCAAGATAAGAACTTACTCCTTGGATATTATAACTGTGCGCAGTGATTCCGGAGACTGATGATGATTACATTTATTCTGGGCTGCGTGCTTAGAGTGAAATGATTTTATGTGTTCATTAATAGGACTATTAATTTCAGTATTTTCACTTGAACTTTGACCGAAGATTTGAATTGCTTTGTGCCCTTTTGTGCATTTATCGTCTGTGTTTTCAACAGATAATGCTGGTATCCCAGTACTTCGTTTTGATTCGAAGTACATTACAGTATTTATAAAAATCACCTACACCCTTTTCGATTTATATGTATATAAGTGCTCCTTGCTAGTTTTTCTCTAGAGTGTATCTGCTTGTTGGCTGAAATGAATTGAAAGGAAACAAGTTGCTTTAACTCTACACCTAGATAAAAGTACAAAATTTATGACTTCTGCTTGAGAAATCATATTGCTCAAAGTAGTAGGTTCAATCACTAATTCGATATATTCATCTGTCAGTTGTAAAATTGAGTTTTCAATATACTTGCTAAGAAAAAACGTTGATTGGCACTGTTGCATGTCATTAAAAGTAGGTTTAGTCATTAGAAACAAAAATATCTAGTTATTTAATCTGAATTTGAATTGACAAGAAGGCATAGTAAAGTTAGTGCAGCTTGTTTGGGTGCATGTTCTGAGGGCAGCGCATCAGAACTACACTAAACTATACAGGCTTTCAAAAGCCTAAAAGGGCTGGACTATCTTATAAGTTGAAAAATTAATTTATCATTAATATGAATGCAGGATATATATATTGACAATATTTTGATTACTCTCTATCGTTCGCACAGAACAAATGAAATAGAAGACAGATTCACAGAGAAGTAAGTGTTTATAAATTCACCTAACTGGGTGATAAAACGCCGTTGAACAAGCATCGTATCTCAGTGAACATCTAACAAATTATCACCTGGATTTGTATTTAATTGTAAGAGCATCAACGTCTCAACACTGCTGAAATCACTTCATACATTTTTGTGTCTTTTAGCTTAATTCTTATCAAAATTTCGGTATTTCAGACTTCAGAGTAGAATTATCTTGTCTTTTAAACGGTGCTTGAAACTAAATTGTCAAGAATGACTTTTATGGATGAACTGAATTTATGAAGATTAGGTGATAAGTCAAGTAGAAAAACGATCTGGAACACGATGGCAGTTGAGCTAGCTGTTTTTAACCTACTAATTCGATAATTTAGCAAATAATTTCGACTTAATTCATAATCTTCATAAAAACAGCAGTTAATTATGCTTCAGGTAATTCCATTTTAGTTTACTATACAGTGAAACTGTTCTTTTTTATGAATTGACTTGGTGACTTTGAACTTTACCAGTGACCCGTAGTTATATTTCAATGACTTCATAACATTGTATGAAGTTAAAAATAGCTATTTCACCGTTTAATGTTTTCAATAATCGAAACAAAATCGATTTATCTTCTAAAATTGGTGCAATCTTGTACCATTTTCATATAAGATTAAAATTGTTACCAGCGAACGATTAATCTCATTGGATAGTGTTTTTCTTAATAATATTTCTGCTTGAGATCCTTAGCAGTTGACGATCAAGTGATTTAGAGACATCATCCTTTTGTTCTCACTTAGGATGAATAGTCAGTGAATCGGTTGATGAAAATAACAATTATATACACCATCCAGTGAGTTCACGACGTTCATACTGAAATAAAAGGCAGAAGCCAGAGTGCACTCATCCCGTTTCCCGATGTTTTTCTCAACGGTCGACAATAAAGCAAAATGATACCCCCTTCAGCATAATTCAAATTTACCAATATTTTATACACCATTGAAATATATCAACTGAATAATGTCTAAGGCGGTTGATAGGTGTCATTTTGAATGAAACCACTAAAGAATAAACTTCTTGGGGAAATGTCACTCCTCAGTGTTCCCACAAATGGTCAATCTTAGCACCTTTAAGAACCTGAATTAATGTCGGTTTTTTTCAAATGTGTACAACCGAAAGATACCGTTTTGAGCCCAATATGATCTACAAAATGCACTCCATGAATTATGAAAAACAGTACATTTTGTCTACACCAACATCAGCTGTCAACTAGGCAGCAGAATTCTCGAATTGACGCATATGAACATCCGTACAACTGAATTCATCGGGAAAAATGTTTACATTTTAGATGCATAAAATGCAATAGATGGTTAACAAATTTATTTGCCCAATTTTCAGATCATTTGGCAGTCAGTAGACATATTTTTGTCGACATTCTATGCACTGAAAAAAGGCGAAGAACAACTACTAGATGGGAAATACGGTTATCAAGAGAAATTGCCGAAATTCTGAGATAAGTGGAGACATTATAACCGGTGGAAATAATTGGTTGTACATCAGAAAACCGAACAAAGTTACCAAGCTGCCTATGAGAATATAATTAGCAGATTGTTTCTTTTCAAATTCTATGCTGGTGATGTTGGCCTAACTTATCATGATATATACACGAATCAGACATACAGCTCACGCAACTTGGAAACAACTAAGTCAACTTTAATTTCCTCATTCAGTAGTATATCTCACCAACATCATCCTTTTGTACAAAAATCCAACCATCAGTCGTTAAAATTTCCCACTAACTTTCAAACAAAAAAGAAATCAGTTTTAAGTGGCCTGGTGTTCTCTGGGCTGTGATATTTTGTTTTGGATGTTTCATCATCAGGCTTAGTGACATCCTCAACACATTCGAAAGCTACATGAATGTTTAGCTAGTGCCTTACTGACTTTGGGTGTTATTCATTTGTAAGTTATGGGAGAGATTTTCATCACAAATTGACCTCTTTGACCTTAGATTTCCTTCTGTCACGTTGGCAGAGAATCCTCCTGGGAGTGAAATCGTTCTGTTAGTTACTAGATCGTAGACTGGACCTGCGTCCACTTACCTTCTGACTGACTTTTCGTTGAAATACCGTGTTTGGATAAATTCCCTTTCAGCTTTCAAACCTGCTGTTTGAATAATTTCCACATTCTCCCAACTAAGTTTGTGATCATGACTTTCTGTATCCAATGAAAACAAGAAGGTTGCTTCATGTCACTTCACTGCCAGTAGGTGTTCATGAAATCTTAGAGGAGTTTGACAGTTAGACTGGCCAATGTAGTGTTGAGAACAATCTTAGCAATTGATTTTGTAGATCATATTTTTCCCGTTTTTATGGGCAACGGACCTTTTGTTTTGCACAACGTCTTGTGTACTAATTTTGTTGGTTTATACACTACTCGAATTCGGAACGAATGAAGTAACAGACTGACAGTTTTTGGGATATGTTTGATATAGGATAGCGTAACGCACCTATTGACTTGAGGTAATCGTCTCGTCTCTTTTCCTGCTGATAATTTTTTGATAATGTTGAATGTAGAATCAATGAACACTTTGTACAGGTATTTTTCTTCTTCCTTCCGTACAGTTGCATAGCATAGGTTATAAGGAACCAGAATGTCCGGAACACAGGTGCATTACTTTTATAAGATCAAATACAACCAAGAAACAGCGTATTTTCGTTGTCCTAATGAGTATTGCCTAAGTTCTACCTAAAGATTTAGTCATCTGTTATACTGTGAATTATAAAATACATAATTCTGGTATGAGAATAAAGTTAAAAATGAAACATTGCACCATTGCTAAAAAAAATGGCGTTTGTTCACCCACTAACCTCTGGAAGTATTACAATGCTTTTGTTCAGTGTTCAATACAAATTGCAATAATCATCTAAATGAGAGCGTGAATGCACTGCTAAATCTTCTTTATGCAAAACAGCTTCATTTATGTGCCGATCATGTGACTTTCTTTTTATAGGTTGACTATCATACATATATGTGCAAATGCATAGTATGATTATAAATGCAAACAGGCTTATATCGCATATGATTAATTCACTCAAAAAAGCCTAATAAGTACACGTGTCATTGTATATTATATGTGTGTCTGTTTAGCAAAAATGTAGTCATAAGAATGAGTAACGATGCTGGGAACAGCGAATGCATTTTTGACAGATACTTCTGCTTGTACGTTATTGATTTTCTGTTGAAAATATCCATAAACTTCAAATTATTGTTTGATAACAGTTGAATTATGAACTTGGATATCAATCTATTTGCACGAGCACGCCTTACATGGATATTTACATTTTGAGATCTATCATATTACTTCAGTAATTTTATACCTGACTTCAGATGATCTAAAAGGAGTAGGTTATGTGTTAGCTAAATAGTATAGGAACTGCCATTACAGTTGCCGGGCCACACTCATACACTGACTTCAAGAATAGCTCAGAAAAGAAAATATCTTGGAGCTTATAAGGTCTTAGTTCAGCACAAAATCAAGTGATACTAAATGAAATTCATGGCCGTTTATTTAAACATTAGGATCTAAACTCTCTGTGTAACACACTATTATCTAAACCAAGAAGTGCTTATATTAAACGGATACTCATTTCATTGTAAGAAATATGACTAATCGATCGTATGGGAACGCTAAAGGTACATGATATGTTTTAGTCAGTAAGCTACATTTTGTCAACTGTCACATATTCCATAATCATTCGATACACGTCAGATTGCTATGACATTTGCTTCCTCATTCGCTGAGTCAAAGATAATGATAGCAGTTTGAAATTCACTACAGCAGTTAGTGCGTTTGGCTATTAACAAAAGCAGCCTAAGTAGTAGTATTAAAAGTAACAACACAAGTGATGTTAAAATATACATGTTACAAACTATACAAACCACACCATCATTTTTCGCAAGTATTTTTTTGCAATCATTCAAGCACGATGTGTTATGAAATTCATAAAATGGCAATGAGTTGCCTTAAATGCGACCCTAGTAAGTGCTTATATAACTTGTCAAGTTTCGGTATTTTGTCTGCAAAGGTAGTTTACGTAACTGGTTATCTCAACAGTTGTCAGGATGATCTTAAAGTCACTCACCGTGTTTTCTTCATACATTCAAATTTACCTCTTTACGCGCCTTTTTTACGTTATCGGTAGCAAAAAGTAGTTATCACATTTCATCTGGCTGTTTCGTCATTGAATAATGTAACTTATATTAAGTCAGTGCATAGTTTTCTTCGCATGTTCTGGATCACTTTTAACCTTTCTGAAGCAACAATAGCTTTGAGTGAGAAAGCGACTTCTGCTTTTCTATTTCTTCTCTAACTTTTGCTTTACACTATTAGCACGATTCCCCCTTGAGATGATAACGGTGATTTCAGTAGTACTTTCACGGAGAACTGCTTACAACATAAGTGGGATGTATTACTAATTTTCACAGTAGTAGTATACCTAACCAACATTTTCAATCGTCAATATTTCCCACTTTGGTTATTGGCAGTTTTGAAGTGTTCTAGTTTCCTTTCATCAATAGTTTGGTATTTGTATTTCCCAATGAATGTTAAAATACAAAATAATAATAATAACAGATAATGGATAATAATAATAATAATAATAATAATAATAATAATAATAATAGGTAAGTAAAGTATGTTCGCACATCTACTAAAGCAGGAAATTTGGCTGTATTGACGAGACATTCGTAGTTTTACAACGTGACTTATACCAAGCATTCTCAGATCAGCTGAACTCTAGATCACTAAGTATCAAGTTCAGCTCAGAAGAAACGGATTGTGTTGTTAAGCGGAAAGAAAGTGGACATTTAGGTTTAACCATTTTCAGGAAAGAAACTCATTCGAACAAATATTTAGATTACAATTCATCACATCTAATTAGTGTGAATGGTTCTGTTACCCCCAGTCTTTTAAGGAGAGCACACACTCTAATAACGAACGGATGAAAATAGAAGAGTTAAGGAATTGAAATAGGTGAGTAAGATAGTTAAAATGAATAATTATCCAGTAAAATTCATTCGGAAAATGGAAAAAAAATATTAAATTGGGTCATAAGACGTTTCCAAACCATGATCTCCAACACTAGTCATCACACACAGATAACACACCCCGAATAAAATTAGGGCAGTGCTCAACAAATACAAAATCAAAATGCTGTACAGAATATCAAACATACTGCAGAAAACTTTAGTTCATTTGAAGGACGAGATCTTTTTGGATTCACAGTTTAACTGCGTTTATAAAATAAAATACACAAACTGAATTGCAATCTATATATGACAATTATTATTTCTTTATTATTTGTCCTTTGGGCTCCTAGTGAAACATAGGGCTTCAGCAGCATTTTGCCATTTCACTCTCTTCTCTGAAGTCTTTCCAACCTAGCCACACAACTGACCAGAAGCTTTCATTTCTTCCCCACACGATCTCTTACATATCACCCTGACCTCGAACACCCAACTCGTCATTTCTCATTCGGGTTCCCCTCGATGGCCTGGTCTGATGCGTGATGTCCCCAATCAATCTTCTCAGTGTATTTCCAAACCCATCTATCTCCACTTTCTTCAACTGCATATTTGTTGGATGATGGGTTGTTAGTTGGTTCGTTGCCAGCCAGCCAGCCAGCCACAGTTCCTTGTTGCTTATTCTTATTATTCTGGAAATTCATCTGATCTTCAGTGTCAGTATCGAGTGAGCGTAGGTGGCAGCTGTTGATGATGCATGTCTATAGTTTCTTGGAAATACTTTTCGTAACGCGCCAAGTCTCTCAACCGTCACATACAAGCACTGACTCGGTGTAAATGTTGAAAATCCGGGTCTTGTTGTTTTTGTTGAGATCAGCCCAGTACAGTAGATCTCCACACTGATTCCAGATTAATGAAGTCCTGTCTTGCCTGCTTTTCCGATCCTTGCTTTGACATCCTCATCTGTGTCACCACTTGTAGTTGAAATGATGCTGCCCTATCAAGGTAGGTGAAAGAGACAACTTCCTTTTGACTTCTCCCGTTGAAAATGATTGGTGCTTGTTGTTGTTGTTGGTTAGATATCTTCACCACCTCTGTGTTCTCCACGTTCACCTGAACGAAGTCCCGTCTTCGCTGCCTCGCTTCGCCTCTTCTTCCAACTTGTTAGTTTTCACCTGTACATCTTCGAGTTTGTGCGACAAGACATTAGACATAAATCATCATCGGCGGTGAAATCCAAATCTTCTAGGGTCTTTTCATGAGTCTAGCTAGCGTATGCCCCTCTTCTCACAGCTCCTCACAGTTTCTTGCATGATCCAGTTGAGTCGACTACAATCAAGAAGATGATAGGTGATAGTAGACGGTAACCTTCTCTTACTCCTGTCCCCACTTCCACTTCAAATGCATCACTGAGCTTCCCATTGTGAATCACTTGGCATGTGGCCTCATCATGCAGCATATAGCTATTGAATGAGGTTGATAAAGGTTTATGGCACTAGGATCGTAGTATTGAAGCATCTGCCTGCTAAATTACTTCTCGGTCAACGCTGTCGAAGCTCTTTACAAAGTCGATGAAGTTGACGTGAGGTAAAGAGTTGATTACCATTCTGCGCTCTGTTCTATGGTGATGCGCAGCGCAACGTTGCAGTTTGATCCGCACATCATTTATTTTTCCTCAAGCCAGTCAGCCAGCCTATTTTGGTCGTGATTTTGAATGCAGAGCATATTTTAGTTTCTCCAGTATGATACGTCTTCATATTTTGCTTGGGATGACAGGGACAGGAGCATGATTCCGCTCTAGTTCTTGTTCTTGCAAGGAATTAGGTCGCCCTTTTTCGGGAGTTTGACGAGGTAGCTCTTCTTCCAATCGGTAGGTAACTTCTCTTCCTTCCTTGGAAACTTTCTGGAATAGTAGTGTGAGCATGTCCACTGTTGTCTCTGCGTCTGTTTTTAGTGGTTCTGGAGGAATTCCATCTGGTCCTGCTGCTTTCCCGGATTTCAGCCACTTTGTGGCATTCAGAACTTTACTCCTGCTTTTGTTGGAGGGCTTGTGTTCACCGATAGTTCTGTGGCTGGGCTGCTGGTGGTATTTCTGGACGAGTTGCAGGTAATGGGGGTGGTAGTCAATTCAAGAGCTTTTTGAAGTGGTCAGCCCATCGTTTCCTTTGTTTTTCCTCTTTGGTAACTAAGTTTCCTCCACCATCTTTCACTGGTTTCATCTGTGTTCATCTCTTCCCAGATAGTAACCTGGTTATTTGATATAATGTTGTCAGGTATCTGTCTCTCCTACTTGCAGCCTGTTCTACTTCACTTGCAAGTGTGTCGTGGGAGTGTCTTTTGTCTTTGCGAGCACTCTTCTTCACTTCCTTGTCCAGTGTAGTGTTTTATAGGTTAGGTTGTATTCAGTTCCCTTATTAGTTGTTCATCCTTGCACTGAACTGCACTGGTTCCTCTCCTATTCACTATCACCATCTTCCTCTCCCTCCTCTGTCAGCTTCCATGTATCTGTCGAGATCCATTCCTTTTCCTGTCTTGCCTCTTCTTTCTTCCTAAAACGGGTATGCAGATTTCCTTCCACGTCGCTTTCAAAGAGTTCCGGTGTTCTTCCACGCAGGTTTCCCCAGAGATGCTGCTTAATGTCTCCTATTTTATCCTGATGACTGGCTGACGTGAAGATGTCCTTTGTAGTTTTGTCCTTCAGTTCCTGTTCTGGGTGTTTAACTTGAAATGTGGTCTGTCACCAATTTTCCAGAAGGTTTTCAACTTGATTTTGAAGGCAGGTTCCTTGCTCTGGGTAGAATTTTGATGTTGCCGTCTGGGGTGGGGTCCTGTTCATTACTGATTGCAGTTGTCTGTAGAATCGCCCCTTCTTATTCTCTTGATCTGCATTATTTGTGGGTGCGTAAAGTAGCATTGTATGATTCTGACTTTCCTACTTTTTGATCTGAATCCATCTTGCTGTCATGATCCTGATCGTGGAGCAGGAGATTGGTTCCCACTGCATGAGAGAGAGCCTTCAATGCTGTTAAAGGGGACATCATTATAGCCACTCGAAA